TACAATGCTTTGCAAGCTCACAACTCTCACATCTCAAATTTGACATCTGAACAGACTCGAACAAATTTGGAAACAAACTCTTCAAAGACCGAAAGGATAAATGACCTAAYCGATTATGCCAAAGCATAAYCRGACTAACAGACTGAGAAACAAAAGACTTCCTATCTTCATGATCTTTCCAATGAGAACTCTCTCCAAGCAAATAGATCCCATTTGTCTTACGGCCAGTCCAATCACCTTCCTTGTTTCCAAGTCCTGAAAAATACATCGATCAGGAAAAAAAGTTACTGAACAATTCTGATGTTTTGTAATACTACTGACTGAAAGCAAGTTAGTATCAAGCTTAGGAACATGYARAACTRARGATAAGGAAATGGTATTAGACAACTTGATGTCTCCCTTGCCAGAAATGGGAACAAGGGAACCATCAACAATGGACACTTTATCTCTACCAGAAGATAAGTGATAGGTAGTGAACAGTGATGGCAAGCTAGTCATATGGTCAGATGCACCTGAGTCTATTACCCAACAATGTTCAATGTTACTTGGAGCTAAAGAATGATAAGTTGAGGCCCGAGTACCTGAATGAGCAAAGGCTGATGTGGAAGGAGCTGATGATGACTGAGATGATTGAGTTGAATTCCCAACTTCCTTTTCCAACTGAGTTAGGGCAGCCCGAACAACAGCTAAGGTGTCTAGGGGTGTGCCTTTTGTGCCCGATGAGGATGCAGAATCGGTATTGACAGCCATATGGGCATTACCCCTTTTGTTCCTCAGTTTTGCTGGGACTAGATGAGGGTGCAACTTCCAACATGTGTCTTTAGTATGCTTAGGTTTCTTGCAATGTTCACACACTAGATCCCGCTTATCTTTCTTCTTTATATCCCTTTTTGTATCACCCCCAGACTTAGGTTTAACTGCTGCCAAGGCTGGTGGGAAGGGCTGATGCTGCATTCTCAGTCATAATTATGTTAGTCTAATTATGACTTTAGATTTAACCAATTCAATCTAATTAGACTAACATAAGACCAAAACTGGCCCAGCAACCAGTTTTAGATTTAACCAATTCAATCTAAAGTCTAACCAATTCAATAATTACATTCTCAGTCTAATTAGATTTAACCAATAACTAACCTTAGATTTAACCAATTCAATCTAATTAGACTAACATAAGACCTCTTTCTCTGCAACCAGTTTTAGGTTTTGAACAGAAATTCTGATCGCCACCTTCAGTCTTGAACCATTATATTGACCTCTCACTTAGTGTACATGAAGCAAGCCAAAGGGCTGGTGATGCCAGAGATTGA